ATGAAATAAATAATAACTGAGAACAACGTTTGTGATAACAGTCGACGCCCGACGGACCAAATGACGTAGGCACCATGCGCAGAGCATGATTGCTCTGTTGCTGTCATACCATACTACCATAGACCTATTAACAAATAGGTCTATGTGTCATACCATGTTAGTTWTATCTGTTGGTTATACCCGTTATACCATGCATTCTCCTATTTGATATTTGTACAATAATAGTCGTGATAAAGAAAACCTTTCGGTCGTCTCGTCAGTCGTCACTCTAGTCTAGTCTGACTAGTCTCGATAACGAATTTCTCGGCAACAAATTGTTCAACGAAGAATAATAAATTATTATTGTTTATGTCTTGACGCTCGGTTTTTGATAATAATAATATTATTCGGTGTTTTTTTTCTCTATCATCGCTGATGTTGATCTCTGTTTGATACGACCTACTTTTGCCGTCAACATCGTAGCTGAGTTAGCTGACAGTTATATTTTAATTCGGTTGGCGATCATAGACCATAGTTATAGGCTTATAGCGGTGTTCTTATATAATATATTCATCACCAAACCGTTTTTGTAAGACACAACGAGACCATGACGTCCTCAAAGTACTGTTTGAAAACTCGCAATAGAATGAAACTTTTAAACGCCAAGGTAAGTGTTTACCCGCTCCTGAAATTATTATTATTTYAACTATATATTATTTCGAACATTTTTTTTTAATGTTTCAGAAGTTGGATAAYGAACAGGATCATGATCTGTTTTTGTCAAAGTTTACTTCAGCACTGTGTGGTGACAGTTTCAACAGACTCCCGTTGAATTCCACTTTAGGACGTCTGCCACTATCTGGTACGAGATAAACTATTTCATCTTAATATTTTATTTTAAAAAGGACATTAGGAYCATTAGGTTAACATATGAAGTAGGTAGATGCTACATACAAGGTACAATATAAAATGCAATTTAATTTTAATTTTAAATAATATCAACAAGATGTTTAAAATGTTGTTTTTTTTTTTATTGGGTTTATTGGGCCTTTAAGACCATCCCGTCTCACAACCAAGTTTCCATCCCACTCTATCCATTGCCAGATTTCTCCAATTGGAAACACCTTCTAAATGTTCAACATCCTTTATAATATCTTCCCATCTCATTTTTGGTCTACCCAGAGGTCTTTTACCTACAGGATTTTGTTCAATCACAGCATGAAGGTAATAGTGGATTTTGGCTCTTCCATGCATGGCCAGCCCACCGTAGTCTTCTGCTTCTGTTGACCTCCATTATGTCTAAACTGGCCTATAGTGTTTCCAGCTCTATGTTCTTTTGTCTCCACTCCTGAGTTATTTCATCTTTGACCGGGCCATATATTTTTCACAACACTTTTCTTTCAAAGACCATGAATCTATACTCGTCCATTTTTCTRAGTGGCTATGTTTTCAATCCATACACTACAACCGGTCGTATTAAGGACGTATATAATTCTTCTTTCATTCTTCGCGATACTGCTTGTGAGCTTAGTACATTAGTCAGTTCATTGTAGCATTTATTCCCAGCTTGAATCCTTGCTGCTACCTCGATTGCTACATTATTTTTTTCAGACAAAATAGAACCTAGGTATTTGAACTGTTTTACTCTTTTAAATTCATAGTGATCTATTTTTATGGACTGACAAAGAGGTAGTACCCCCTGTCTACTTAAAATGTATTGTAGAATTTTTAGTACAATGGTTCTAAAAAAATTTGGTTCTAACTGATTAGTCCTYAAAAATATTTGTTATGGAAGTTTCACTGTATTACCTAAAGTTATCAGTAATTTATTTAATTATATAAGAAGTATATTTCATTAAATACTACTTAATACATACTTACCTACATATGAATATATTCTGATTATGTTTTATTTTAATAAAGTAAAATATACATTTTAATGATGTTAAATTTTCTTAAATTTTACCTTTTTCACTTACAGAATTAGCTCAGGAGCTCAAAACAGGAAAATTGATATCAAAATTTGAAGACTTTGATTATTACACCGATGGAGAAGATGAATCACCATATGTTTACACATGTTCATTTGTATTGGCTATAATGTATTTTGAACGACTTAAAGTATCAAACCCTAATTATTTGAAATCTATTAACTCATCCGAATTATTTCTTATATCTCTGGTAAATCGATCAATAATTATTAAATAGTTATTAATTAAACATTAAAAACTTAAATGTTATTTATAGTTAGTTGCAAGTAAATATCTTCATGACGATGGTGAACTAGATTCTGCAATAAATAGCGAATGGGCTGTTGCTTATGGTATCAGTCTTAAGACTATCAATCAAATGGAAAAAGATTATTTATCAGCTATGGTAAAACTTTTTAACYTAAAAAACTAATTAATTCTAATCTCAACAATTAAGTGGGTATGCCATTTTTAATTAATATTTTAATATTACCTAATTGAACATTTTAGAAATATATAAAATAATATTGTATTTTCTTATTCCTATAATATATACTAAACTATGTCCATTTAGTAAATATAAAATCTTATTTATCCTTTAATTGAAATTTAGTTTACAAGCTTATTGAACAATTATTAAGMTTATTTATGAATAATGCTTATGACAAATTATTATTTTTTATGTAGAATTGGGAGTTTTTTATAAGTGATGAAGAATTTACTAGTAGACATAAAGAAATAGTTAATCAACTATATGGTGATATAAAGAAATCTAACTCTGTATTGTTAAAGATGTTCCTATTGATCTCATCAGTTGTACAAAAAATAAGAAAAGTAAGTTAAGATTTTTTTTTTAAAATTAAATAGTTTAAATTTCAATATTTGTTGTGTTATTGTTAATTAGTTGTACAAAAGGAAAATTGTCCGTCAGAAAATGAAACATATGATTGCCATGTCAACTGTTATCACTGTGGTCACCGCAACAACTATGCAACTCAACCATGGAAATCAAAAATTAGTTCAAGAATTGTATAAACAAATTGAGTCTGATCCAAATTACCCAAYGATTCCCTCCACCAATACAAATGTTATAGAAAAGCYGGAAAAAGTAAAAGATATTTCTAATAAATGGCATTCATCTAAATTACTACAGTTATTAGACCATTTGTTACTCATGAACATATGTGTATCTGATGATGATCGTCAACTATCATTTCAAACTATCCTTAGTAAACCAAACAAAAATCGATTTCGGAATATTTCAAATTTTAAAAGTACTTTATTTTTTGACTACATAACAACTATAAACCACACATATTGAAGTTAAGTTTTAATTTTGTTGATTCTCAATCTACTCAACTATATTTTAACTAATATTTTTGTTATATCAGTTATTTTACATACATATGTTTTGTATAAAAC